CCGCCTGCACAGCCCGGCAACCCCGCCGCGGGAAGGAGCGCGGCGCGCCCCGGGGAGCCACCCGGCCGCGGCTCTGCGCCCGCGCTAACTTTCCGTCCGTCCGTCCGTCCTTCGGTCTGCTCCTTCCGTCCCTCCGTCTGGCTGCGCTTCCTTCCTTCTTTCCCTTCTCTCCTTCCCTTTTCCTTCTCTCCTTCCCTTTTCCTTCTCTCCTTCTCTTTTCCTTCTCTCCTTCCTTCCCTCCTTCTCTCATCCTTTCATTTTCCTTCCCTCCTTCCTTCTCTCATCCTTCCCTTTCCCTTCTCTCCTTCCCTTCTCTCCTTCACTTTTTCTTCTGTCCTTCCCTTTTCCTTCTGTCCTTTCCTCCTTCTCTCCTTCCCTTTTCCTTCTGTCTTTTCCTCCTTCTTTCGTTCTCATTCTTCCCTTTTCCTTCTCTCCTTCCTTCCCTCCGTCCCTGCTTCCCTTTTCCTTCTCTCCTTCCTTCCCTCCTTCTCATCCTTCCCTTTTCCTTCTCTCCTTCCTTCCCTCCTTCTCTCCTTCCCTTTTCCTTCTCTCCTTCATTCCCTCCTTCTCTCCTTCCCTTTTCCTTCTCTCCTTCCTTCCCTCCTTCTCATCCTTCCCTTTTCCTTCTCTCCTTCCTTCCTTCCTTCCCTCCTTCTGTCCTTCCCTTTTCCTTCTCTCCTTCCTTCCCTCCTTCTCTCCTTCCCTTTTCCTTCTCTCCTTCCTTCCCTCCTTCTCATCCTTCCCTTTTCCTTCTCTCCTTCCTTCCTTCCTTCCCTCCTTCTGTCCTTCCCTTTTCCTTCTCTCCTTCCTTCCTTCCTTCCCTCCTTCTGTCCTTCCCTTTTCCTTCTCTCCTTCCTTCCTTCCTTCCCTCCTTCTGTCCTTCCCTTTTCCTTCTCTCCTTCCTTCCTTCCTTCCCTCCTTCTGTCCTTCCCTTTTCCTTCTCTCCTTCCTTCCCTCTTTCTCTCCTTCCCTTTTCCTTCTCTCCCTCCTTCCCTCCTTCTCTCCTTCCCTTTTCCTTCCCTCCCTCCTTCCCTCCTTCTCTCCTTCCCTTTTCCTTCCCTCCCTCCTTCCCTCCTTCTCTCCTTCCCTTTTCCTTCCCTCCCTCCTTCCCTCCTTCTCTCCTTCCCTTTTCCTTCCCTCCCTCCTTCCCTCCTTCTCTCCTTCCCTTTTCCTTCCCTCCCTCCTTCCCTCCTTCTCTCCTTCCCTTTTCCTTCCCTCCCTCCTTCCCTCCTTCTCTCCTTCCCTTTTCCTTCCCTCCCTCCTTCCCTCCTTCTCTCCTTCCCTTTTCCTTCCCTCCCTCCTTCCCTCCTTCTCTCCTTCCCTTTTCCTTCCCTCCCTCCTTCCCTCCTTCTCTCCTTCCCTTTTCCTTCCCTCCCTCCTTCCCTCCTTCTCTCCTTCCCTTTTCCTTCCCTCCCTCCTTCCCTCCTTCTCTCCTTCCCTTTTCCTTCCCTCCCTCCTTCCCTCCTTCTCTCCTTCCCTTTTCCTTCTGTCTTTTCCTCCTTCTTTCGTTCTCATTCTTCCCTTTTCCTTCTCTCCTTCCTTCCCTCCGTCCCTGCTTCCCTTTTCCTTCTCTCCTTCCTTCCCTCTTTCTCTCCTTCCCTTTTCCTTCTCTCCCTCCTTCCCTCCTTCTCTCCTTCCCTTTTCCTTCCCTCCCTCCTTCCCTCCTTCTCTCCTTCCCTTTTCCTTCTCTCCTTCCTTCCCTCCTTCTCTCATCCTTTCCTTTTCCTCCTGTGCTTCCTTCCCTCCATCTCATCCTTCCCTCCTTCTCTCATCCTTCCCTTTTCCTTCTGTCCTTCCTTCCCTCCTTCTCGCATCCTTCCCTTTTCCTCCTGTCTGTCTTTCCTTCCTTTCTTCTCTCATCCTTTCCTTTTGTCTGTCTTTCTTTCCTTCCTTCTCTCCTTTCTTTTTCCTTCTGTCCTTCCTTCCTTCTTTCCTTCCTTCTGTCATCCTTTCCTTCTGTCTGTCTTTTTTTCCTTCCTTCTCTCCTTTCTTTTTCCTTCTGTCCTTCCTTCCTTCTTTCCTTCCTTCTGTCATCCTTTCCTTCTGTCTGTCTTTTTTTCCTTCCTTCTCTCCTTTCTTTTTCCTTCTGTCCTTCCTTCCTTCTTTCCTTCCTTCTGTCATCCTTTCCTTCTGTCTGTCTTTTTTTCCTTCCTTCTCTCCTTTCTTTTTCCTTCTGTCCTTCCTTCCTTCTTTCCTTCCTTCTGTCATCCTTTCCTTCTGTCTGTCTTTTTTTCCTTCCTTCTCTCCTTTCTTTTTCCTTCTGTCCTTCCTTCCTTCTTTCCTTCCTTCTGTCATCCTTTCTTTCTTTCTTTCTTTCTTTCTTTCTTTCTTTCTTTCTTTCTTTCTTTTACATTTTCGTCCAAGGAACATGTCTGCTCTTCTGATATTTTTTTTTTAGAAGAGCAGACATGCTTTTTCGGAAGCCCTGTATTCCTGTGAGGAATAAGGACTCTTCCGAAAGAGGAGGTGTTTCCCACATTTGGCCCCGTGTGGTCGGGCCAAATGTTGGAAAAGCCTCTTCTGAAAAAAAAATTGGAAAAAAGTACATACATTGCTTGCGGTTTGCAGTTTGCGTGCCTTTTTCTGGGGGGAAAAAAAAAGCAACAGTGTAGACATAGCATCACAGGCAGAGCAGCAGGGATAAGGCTGTTTGATTTGCATGGGGGTCGGGTGGTACAGCAGAAAGGAACAATGATCAACTTTTTAGGGGTTATAGATTAGTCACCTAGGGGATTCAGGGACATAACTTCCATTGAAATGCATGTGAAGCATGTGCCTCAGTAGTTTTCAAACTTTTTTTCTCATGACCCAGTTGAAGAATATTGTTAATGCCCATGACTCAAGGTATTTTCACTAGAGTGTAGGCTCCGAGGTGGGGCTGAGGAGGAGAGCTTTCGGTATAGGAGGGGGCTCTAGCTTGGGGGGAATCAGGGCTGTGGTAGGAGGGGCTTGCCTTGAGCTGCTCCTGGTCATCAGTGCAGTGGGGGGAGGAGGGACTAAGGCAGCTTCCTGCCTCTCCCAGCATCGCAGACCATACTGTGCCCCCAGAAGCACCCGGCCGCAGGTTCCCAGCCAATGGGCGTGCGGCGCTATTGCTCGAAGCAGGGGCAGTGTGCAGAGCCCTCCCCACAGGAGCCAGGCCTGCTGCACAGTCTGCGGTGCCCAGACAGGCTGGGAGCTGCCTTAGCCTCCCCCACTGCTCACCTGATCCCCCTGCAGCAAGGAAACCCAGTACCCGACATTCCATGCCCCAGTCATGGGTCGCGACCCTTTGTTTGAAAACCGCTGGCCTAAACTGTGGTGAAAACCTCAGCCAGTGTGGGTTACTGTCATGTCAGTGCATCATAATCAACTTACTTGGAGAGCTGTGAAAATAGGTGTGTGAGGAAAACGAAGGCAAATCCAAACTGAACGATCTCTAGTGTGCATAATCACATACCATTTCAATAGGCTGTGCTGTACTGGATTTTTTATTTTGTAACTGCTTGGCTCTATTAGCTTTGCCCCAATTAGAGTCTAAATGAGAATGCATGGGGGGAAAAAACAAAAGGAAGCAATAAAGAGGGCAAAGAGTTTCCAAATCCATTATTATTATTATATTGGACTATCACTGTACATGTAAGATAAATTAATTTTATTGTCCTGTGCTGGGAGTGAACATGACTAAAATAAGAGCTTTTCTCTTCTTTCCCTCACCTCTTTTCTCAGGTCATATATGCGCCAGTCCATTTAGCTGGGGAATTGATACTAGTCTCCTCCGGATCATGCAGGACTCAAGGTGCGTCTACACTGCACTCTAAACTCGAAATAAGATATGCAATTTGTGCTACAAAAATTGCGTATCTTATTTCAATTTTATTTTGAAATTTGAAATTTGGCACGTCTACATGGCGCCAAATTTGGAAATAAAGCACTATTTCGAGCCATCCCTTATCCCTCATGCAACAAGGTTTACAGGGATGGCAAAATAGCCTATCCGTTATTTCGAAAAATATTTGGAAATAGCAAGCACATTCCTTGGATGTGGAGTAGCTATCTCAGAATACCTCTGGTATCCCGAAATAGC